ATACAAGTGAAGGAATTGCCATTAAAGTATATGGCCAATGTAAATTGCGGCCATAAACGACAGTAAGATTAATTTTTTTTTATTGTTTAATTATTCTCTTAAAAAAGTTTAAGCCCATCAACTATTTGGCTTAGATTATTATAATTTACTCGTAGGCCTAATAATGTCATGAGCCTTGGGAAGTTTCTCATTTTTAAAAATTATTAAAATTGCAAGTCGACCTGGTGAGTAAAAATTAAGCAGGTATACAATCATATAATTTCTGTACTATACAAAGTATTTAATTGGAATATTTATTAAGCTGCACAACACAGGAATAAATGCAGTTTTATCCTTGAAATATTTTCCTTCTTTCCCCCTATTGGAATATATGATTAATACACTTTAATTTTATACTACTTGCATTATCACAATTTACTAGCAGGACATTTAATAGGGAAACTACTGAAGCTATACTAGTTCATGGCAAGGACGCATTTTTAGTCATAATGTGTGAAAAGGAAATACATCAGGTGAGGTGAGAAAAAACGGAGTGACGAAGTTTGTTTGGAAATTATATACAATATGATAATAACTCCATATATATATATATATATATATAGATTGACTAGTAAATGCTGAATAAAGTTAAATGATGCCTGTGATCATTAGTTTTTATAAGCAATATTATTATCATTTTCATTTGATTTTATTGAACTTTTAGCTAAAACAGTTTAAAGGTGCCTTTAAACAAACGGCTTAAAATTATCATTTTGAAAGTAAATGAATTAATGTACCCAGGCAGCAAAAGATTCATACGAAAAGTTGGGTGTTGTGCTGGCTAAGGCTGGCCAGACAATTACCAGCACAACAGACAGAGAGATACTGCCAACAGTTGCCACTTTAATTGGAAATCGGAAGGTGCGTTGCACGTCGAATAGATTTGGACGACCGTCGTCGAGACGTTCCGGATTTACGATACGCAGTTCTCTGAAACATGATGGAGGGTCAGCAAATAGAGGTTAAAGTTGAATGCAATTGCATTTAACTCACAAATGCCTTATAAACTCTTAGTGTTTTTAAACAATCCTCTTTTATGAACTAAGGTCTAGCTTCTTCTAAATATTGTCACATTTTTCAATGCAATCCTAACGTTAGAGTCTAGCTATAATACGGCAACTTAAAAGGGATTTTGCCACAAATTTTCACTAACTTATCAAATGATCTGCTAAGCTTAGTCGCTTAATATTAATGATCTACCCTAATGCATAGTAATATCAAATATTGAACGCGTCGTCACTTTCCTTAGAGAGCAACCTCATTAAGAGTTTCAAAGCCAAATGGATATAGATTCTTGGCTTAACGTCTATAATGTCAAACTAGCCAGACAAATAAGTTTCTTTATATCTTTATTCCCAGTTGAGCCCACTGACAAGTTTTTGAATCCGTTCCAAAAGTTTGGCTTATCTTGCTATTAACGTCTGCTCATAACATCAACTTCATTCTTAGGCTCTTCTTTCTGATCCTTGATCTAATAGTCATTCATTTGTATTTTTTCTAATCAATATTCAAATGTTTTACTTGCTCTTACCTTCCTTAATCTCCAGCTTATTAGATTTATTTGAACAACGATATCTACGGCCTACAAAACATTTCATTTTTCAGTATTTTAACTATATAAGACCAGTCTTTTTATTGCACTCCAGTTGATGGTATTGCCAGTCAGTGTGATGTGTTTCACTATTTTAAATCTTTTTTAATTCCTGGTTCTGCCTATATGCTGATATTCTTTAGCTCTTATACCTAATCTTCCTCTTTTCTCTAAATTATCTTTGTTTGCAATCATTACAGTTGATGTAGTAAACTCCATTCGTTGGCATTATCCAGATGTAAGATGAGCTTGTAAGGGGTGCCGTCCTTTATTTCAAGTTTATAAGAATATTAGCTTTAAGTATCAAGAGTTACTGCTTTCAGGGCCATTCACAGAAGAGTAAGGATAATAGCTTTCAAGCATTTTTATTCTTTAATTTTCCTTAATATTCACACTTTCAGCATTTTAAAATCACCATTTCTTTGCATATGGTTCATTAGGTATCGGTTCCCAAGAAAGATTTGAGATAATTTTTCCAATTATTCTCTCCAAAATTCTGTATCGGATAGTCTTAGGCACAATACCATCATACTTCTCGTGGCCCTGATATTCAGTCTGTAGTCGTGATGGAATTTAATTTTTATAACTTTACCACGGAGATATTTCTTTAAAATAAGTGTCTTATAATGTGCCTATTCAAAAGAATCGCCTCTACATACAGAAATGACAATATGCTGTCCTTATCCACATTAAAGTAAATTTCATTTTTTATCTATCTTATACAAGATTATTAAGGTCTATAACTTTTCTGTACCAGGTAATCAGATTGCCAAATAATCGTTCATATACAG